CAAGATTTAGCAACTTAAGACCCTGGTTGTTCTTGCAGAAGACCGAGTTTGAATCCTAGCGCCTACATGACAGTTATCAATCAACTGTGTTTACTCCAGTTCCAGGGGATTCGACAGCCTCTTCTGTCCTCTGTGGGCACTGCACGACACAGGTGCACTTACATACATGCAGGCAGTGCACACATACACATAAAATAAAAATAATAAATAAAATATTTTTTTTTAAAAATTATTATTTTTATTTTATATGTATGAGTATATTGCCTTCATGTGTGTACCTGTGTCCTGCACTGCAGAGGACAGAAGAGGTTGTCAGATCCCCTAGAACTGGAGTTATAGATGGTTGTTAGCCACCATATGGGTGGTGGGATTCAAACCCAGGTCCTCTGAAAGAGCAACCAATGCTCTTAACCACTGAGCCATGTCTCTAGCTCCAGAAGCAGTTTGATTTTTTTAAAGTATTTTATTTATTTATTATTTTTATTTTATGTGTATGAGTGTATTGCCTGCATGTATGTGAGTGCTCTTAACCACTGAGCCATCCCTCCAGCCCCCAAATAATAAATTTTTTAAAAAAATCAAACTTCTAGCCAGGCACTGTTGCACTTCCCTATGATCCCAGCATTTGGGAAATGATCAGGAGTTCAAGGTCATCTTTGGCTATATAGCAAGTTCAAGGCCAGCTGAGGTTACAAGAGACTGTGTCTCACAAACAAACAAACAAAATAAAAACTTCCAAACCTAAAGCTAGCTAAGCTCCCTATGAAAAACCTTAAGAAAATGAAATTGGAAAATAAACCCATGATCATACAATCCTACAAGGGCCTCAGGAGGAAAGGAACCTGGGATATATAATACATAACTTTCTTTTTAGCTTTGAAGTGGACTCCAGGTGAATTTAGTTCACTGTAACACTAGGCATTGTGAATGCCTGTGTACAGAAATGCCTCACCATTTAGCCAAAACGTTCTCCTGGATGGCAGCGTAGGACCCGAACCGATGGTCTTTGAGAAAGTCAGTGCCATGCTTCTGGATGAACTCCTCTATTGCTCCACCCCACCACCGAGCATGTCTGTAGCTGTTGCATTTCAAAATAAGTGTCCTTCAAAGGAAAGCAAAAGTGGGAAGTCACTCTGTGTTCTAGCTTCAAACACATTTAGAGATGAAACTCACTATTTTATTTGATAATATAACAGACAGGAAGAGAAAAAATTCTAGGCACAGAACGCCAAAAAAGCCAGCTTCTAAAAACTTTGGTAGAATATCTCAAAGCATTCACTGTATCAAAAATAAAGTGGTAGGCCCTCACTGGCTCACTCACGCAGACATGGTATGTCCTGTAGACTTCCAGCCATGTTGGGCAATGAGGTCATGGAAGAGATATAAACCAAGGTTCTACTTCTGTCAGAGCTATGGCTCCTCTAGCACAGTTCCCTATGTGCTGCCTGTCATCCACTCCCTTGGTTTCTGGAAATATTCTGATGAGGAAAGCCACCAGGACAAGGCTGAGCCAGAAAGGAGAGCTTTGTTTGGGGCATTCTTTTCTGGGACCTGAGGGTCCCCCCTTCCCTTCTCTGAATCCACCAAAGCTATGCAAAATAGCCTCTCCCATTCCCCAATTCCTGGTGAGTTGGGGCATGAGTACATCAGCCAGTTCCACCTGGTGAGAGCAGAGCTGAGCAAAGACGCCCTCCCTGAGTGTGGTGGACTAGCGTGGTTAGCAGCCATCTTGCCATCAAGAGGGGACCAGACTGAGGACGGGGGCAGATCCCAGGTGTCAAAGCTGAGAAAAACTAACAAAATGCATCTGAATGGCATAGTTCAGCTTCGAAATAATCACCTGATGTGGCTGATTAATTTGGTCTGGTATAAGTCAGTTTGCACTGGTCTTTCTATCACGTGACCAAGGTATCCTAATTTGTTACAGATTTATAAACGTTGAAAATAAATTATGAATAGGTAATAGAAAGTTTTCTTTTTGATGCTGAGTGTCAGAGTTAATGATTACCAGCAAGAGGTGAAAATGAGTTATCCGGAACTGAATTTCAAGGAAAACAGGTGCTGGGCTGAATGCCTCTCTGCCATACGATCAGAAAGCCACCAGGAGAAGGCTGAGTCAGAAGAAAGGAGAGCTTTGTTTGGGGTATTCTTTTTTGTTTGATTTGGGGGGAGGGTTGGGGAGGTGGGAATGCAACAGTTCTCATGGAAAACAAAGGAGGAACTCTCTTCACAGAATCTAAAGCAATTATTTATGAAGATCAGGATGCCCAAACCTCTTCAATACATCCCAGATGGATACTGGCTTTAGAAAGCCATGGGCTAACAGAGCAGCTGATGCTGGTGGGTGTGGGGACTAGCAAGGGGAGATGGGATGGAGTAGGAGAGAGGCATCACCAGGGCAAGATGGCCCAGAAGACACCTGAGCTCTGGTGACTTCTTGAGCAAACCCTTTCTGGGAAGAGGATTGTGTGGGCGAGATGAGTGACCAGCAGAAGCCTTGTCCAGGGAAGGGGAGGCTATTCAAAGCACCCAGTAGAAAGAGGGCCAGCAAGATGGTTCAGCAGATAAAGGTGCTGCCAGGTGAGCCTGATGATCTGCATTCACTCTCCAGAACCCACGTAATGGCAGTATTGATTCCACAAAGTTGTCCTCTGACCTCCACGTATGTGATGTGGCACACTAGCCCACACTCATACATAGACTTCATACACACACAACAACAATAATAAATAATTTTTAAAAATATATGTAAGGAGGGCCACTGAGATTGCTCAATGGGTAAATGCACCTGCCACCAACTTTGATGACCTGAGTTCCATCCCCTGGACCCACGTAGTGGAAACAGAGAACTGACACATGCACATGCACACATGTGCACATGCATTCACATTCACACACACACACACACACACACACACACACACACAGAGTAATAATAAAAAAAAAACCTAAATGATAGGGGGCCGGAAAGATAGTTCAGCAGTTAAGAAGTTTGCTTGTTATTCTTGCAGAGGACTTAGGTTTGGATCCCAGCACCCACCTGGCAACTCACGACCATCTTTAACTCTGGTCCAGGGGATCTGACACTCTGCAGACACCAGACACACAGGTGGTGCACATACACACATGCAGGCATTCACACACATACATTAAAATAAGAATGAATCATTTTTAATTCAGTAATTAAATAAAGAATAAGGATGAGGAAGAAAAACTGTGTGAGAAGAGACTGTGGAGAGACGAGCCTCCGCATCACACATGCAGGCATTCACACACATACATTAAAATAAGAATGAATCATTTTTCAATTCAGTAATTAAATAAAGAATAAGGACGAGGAAGAAAAACTGTGTGAGAAGAGACTGTGGAGAGACGAGCCTCCGCACGACCAAAAGGCTGTGCTAGGGAAGGTTTACAAACAACAGCAGAGATAAATGGCCTTAAATTATAAATGGAGAAGTTGAGCTTGTTTGCTGAAATAAGGAGCAGACTGGGTAAGCCTGGATTCAAACAGAGTCATTCGGTGTGGGAAGTAGAGATCAGGAGTTGATCAAGGAAGGTGTCAGTGACCAGTGAGAACCGTGGCCCAGCTCCTTGGGACATGGAAGGATGCAGTGAGGAGAGGAAGAGTTGAAGGGCAGATCCAGGGCACTCAGTAAGGATCCTGAATGCCCCCTTCTGAGAGTGGCGCGCAGCTCTGCACTGTCCTGCACTGCCCCCTCCCCGAAACAGGAAAAGTAGTTTCCTTATTTCTGATTGAGGATGAACCCCAAGTAACAATTTTCTAATATTTAAATTTAAGAGAAAAATTTAGCTTTAAAGAGTTTGAGAAACAGATTTTATATATTGGCAACTTCTACCTTGAAAGATTATCAATTCGAAGTCCGTATTTCGTTTCTGTCTCTTTCTTCCCCACTTTAATGCTGAATTCTTTATCTACCAGGAGGACAAAGGCAATGGCACCGCTGTCTGGTTTCATATACAGTAAGAAAGAGTCTTTCACTATTAGCCACCTGTAAGCAGATAATAAAAAGTTTCAACCTTATGCTTAATAACTGAAGCAAGAGAATAAATTATTCTGACAAGTCTTTAGGAAACACTCTGGTGGACTGCAGATATGATTTCGTTTTACTTGAGGGGGTTTATATTTTTTAAAAAATCACCATAAACAAGAGCTAGAGGTGTGGCTTGGTGATACTGCACTTGCCTAGTATGTACAACGTACTATGTTCGATTCCTGTATCAGTGGGGAAAGTAATAACCGTTCAGTTATCTAAGTATGGGTACTAAGCAATTAAAAATACTTCATTAGCTCTTTAAGCACCAAAAGCAAATCTTGGAAATGTCCCTGATGCTGGCAGGAAGTACTAAAAACACCCCTTCCCCATCCCCGAAGAACAGATGGGGCTGGTGTTTGCTCACACAAGGCAAATTAATCTACCAGTGCACGAAATCCCTGCTCAGAGAATTTAATAAATGTATCTAATATGTCACATCAACTGTTCTTCATTTCAAAACATTTGTGGTTGAAGGGCCATTAGTGATTTGGTGCTCAATGGGACAGAAGTGTCTCTTGAAAGTACTTTATCAACTCAATACACATCCAACAGCTTCCTAATAGAGAAGGCATCGGAAAGTTAGGGAGGAGGGGGCACAAAGATAAGGCAGGCACAGTGTTCTCAGAAGAGCTTGCTAGGCCAGTGGAGGTAGAAACCAGCATCATTTTAGGCTAAATAGGACAGGTGCTAGAAGCGAAGAGGTGGGGGTGGGAGTCAGGAGTCCTCGGTTCTCTCTGCTGTCTGAGCAAGAAAGATCCCAACAGGTAACGGCTGCAGTGGAGGAAGGTCCAGATGATCCCGAGACAACATAGGAACCAGTATGTGCAGGCACGCTGTGTGTGGAGGGAGCAGAGAGTGAACAGCGAGTGTGGAAAGGAGGAAAGTTCAGTTAAGGCCAGTGAGGGTCTGAAAGCCAAGGAGGTTGAAGTCACGTCATGGGACCTGCTTTCCCTACACTTGCCTGAAGACCGGATTCTCTTGGGATGCTTTTCTAAAATGGTTACTGTAGGTGGAGTTGGGGGAGGCATGCATGTATGTGGAGGTCAGGACAACATCAGGTGTTGGTCCTCAGACACCTTCAACTTTTTGTTTGAGACATAGTCTTTCATTGGCTTAGAACTTTGTCAAGCAGGCTAGGCTTGCTGGTCAGTGAGCCTCACAGGTCTGCCTGTCTCTACCTTCCATCTTGCCATGGCTAGGAACACAGGTATATACCACTACACAGGGCTATTTATGGGTTCCAGGGATCTGAATGCAGGTCTCACATTGTGTGGCAAATGCTTTACTGAGTGAGCCATCCTACCAGTCCTCAGATACTTGTTAGAAAAGAAAAACAGACTGCGTGTTTCCACCTCAGATCTGTTCAGAAGGCTGGAGAATGGATGATTTAACAACATGAAAGTGTTTATTAAATAACTAATAATTTATCAAATTGATTAATTGGTAGGGGCACATCCTGCCCTTGCAAAGCAAAAGGGTGATGGCACCATTAGATGTGTGTTTCAGGAAGAAATGCAGAAAGAGGATGCAATGTGATCGTTAGGGAATGACTGAAGCCTCATGGAAGAGTTCCGTCATACTGAACCTGGTTCTGACTGGTGCAGCCAGACTCGAGCCTCTGCATATCTAGCAAGTTCATTGGTGGTGACCTTTAGGGACACATTCTGAGTAGTAAAGACTCAGGACAGGCTGACATGGACCATGGGAAACGCAAGAGAGAAGAGATGGGGTCATTTAAAGTGAATGCAAATGTAACTTTATCAGGCTGAAGAACACCGGGTTTTCGTATTTGCCTGTAACTGGCAACCACATGGATCAGTCAATAACTGAATATAGAAACATTGGGTGTGGCATCACCTAGCCAACATATAATAAATAAATAAATGTCAAATAATTCTAGAATGAATCTTTACCGAAACGGATAGCTACACTGTACCTCAGTGGTTTATAACTGAAGATGTCCTGCAGACAGTCTACACAGATTTCTACACAGTCTTGTTTCATCCACTCATTTTTCATATGAACAAGGAGGTGGGGTGGGTGAAGTGAGTCAAGGAAGTACATGTGATATAGTTAATAAAAAGAAAACCATCAAGGTCAGAGCAAGCAAATACCTAACCACAAAGGTTAAGGTAACCAGAGAGATGATGGGACGGCATGGATCTTAGCTTCCTTATTTTTCTTGTTGAATGAACAAAGACCAAAGGGGTCTCAGCTGGGTGTAGTGGCTAACACCTGGAACCCCAAGACTTGGGACGCCAAGGCAGGGGAATTGCTGTGAGTTCCAGTCCAGCCTGGGATACAGAGGGAGATTCTGTCACAAAAGAAGGGAGGAGAGGTAGTTCCCCATCAAAACTTCCTTTTTAATTTTTCTGCTGTCCTTGACATAGGTCGTAACACTAAACTGAAAGCTAGCCTGTTACTTCGATTGTTCAATCTAGAAAAAGTAAAAAAGTGATCAGGATGTTTTTGGTGGGTCCACAAACATTAGAACAAAAACATTTCTGAATAAAAAAATGAGGAGGAGGAGTAATGTCTTACTATGTAGGCCTGGCAGGCTTGGAACTTACTATGTAGACCAGGCTGGCCTGGAACTCATAGAGATCTGCTTGCCTCTGCCTCCCAATTGCTGGGATTAAAGGCATGAATGACCATGCCCAAGCAAAATTTTAAAAATTTAAAAATAAGAGTTATGACTGAAAGTCACCTTTAAAGGCAACTCCCATCTGGTCACCAATACTACAGTCTTCAAACTGTGGAAAAGTTTCACTAACTGCCAGCTGAACTTTCTATCTCAGATGTCTGATATTCAAGTCCTTGAGGCGTGGCTCACAACATGCTAATAACACAGAGCAAAGGCCATAATCTCCACCCAAAGGTTTACACAGCTTAAAACGAGGACACATTTTATCATAGGGAGGACCACATCGTTTCTGATTGAAACATGAGATTCCATCCAAGGTTTTAAAAAGAGAAGCACATTTCTGTTACATAACAAAGTTTCCCTACCTTTCCCAGCTACCCCTGCCCATGGAGGTCAGAACTCAGAACTGTGTTCCTCATGGAATCTTCTCTGGAATCCTAGGGCACTGCTCCAACCCCAGGTCCCTCACCATCTCTGTGCCTGGATCTTCTTAAGTTCTTCTCATGACTTGAATTGATACCACTTCCAGGTCTCCATAATTTACTACCTCATATCCTCAGAGATCTATGAGCACAGGACTTGTGCGATTGGTATCTAAATTGGTAAAGAGTCACCATAGACTTTATTTTGTCTGTTAGTTTGAAACAAGGTCTCCCTGTAGCTCAACTTGGCCTGAAACTCACTATGTAGACCAGTTGGCCTGGATCTCGCAGAGATCCACCTGCCTCTGCCTCCTGAGTGCTGAGATTAAAAGCTCATGTCACCATGCCCAGCTATAGATTGACTTTAAATGTTGAATGCTCATGCTACACACACATACAATTTATATTCGGGTCTTTTGACTTTACCAGGTCTGTAAAAGAGAGCCTTACTTTGGTAGGTGATAGCACGTCCACTGTCAGGTTATTAAGTTAATGGCTCATGCATTTAATGAACAGATACTGGCAGATATGAATCATCCTAACCCACTGGTGCTGATAGGAATCAGGAGCCACTGAGGGCTCTGCTGACATGTCCATACTGCCCTGTACAAGGACTGCAGAATGCGAGCAATCCAGAGCCTAGGCAAAAACAAATCACTGGGCTTAAAGGTGAGTGTGGGAACACTGTGGCTGGTGCCTGACACAGAGGAGGTAGGCAAAAGTAATGGCTTTTGGAGGAGTGGTTCGTTGGGCCACAGAGGACTGGAAAAGCAGCTCCAGGAGAGGCGACATGTAGGGGAGAAGCCCTGGAGGCAGCAGCTAACCCCCACTCTCTCCCTGCTCACATGGCTAGCTTGTTACCCGTCATCCTCTGGGGCTCCTTTCCTTGCTCTTTCCTCCTGTTTTTATCCACTTGTGCTTCCTGAAAACATCTCTCTAAGCAGTTGCTTTGTGCCCTGACATGGTACACCTCAGCCCCGACACAGCCTCTCCCAAGGTTCTGTACAGTTTGGGGTGAGATGTCACCTGAAGTGAGTATCTCTGGGTTTCTCTTTATATTGTGTGTATATTCCAAGTTTATGGAAGGTAAAGTTTATTTGTGAGTCAGTCATGACAGTAAATGTCTGGAATTCCCCCTACTTCGAAGGTAGAGGCAGGAGGGTCAGGAGGTTCAAGGCACCTAGATTACATAATGACTTTGAAACCAGCCTGGGCTATATCAGACCCCATCTGAAAAAACAAATAACAAAAACCAAAACCAACCAACAAACAGCTAGTATATAAATATTTGCCCAAACATCCGGTTTATTAAATCAAACAAACACACACATCTCCCAAGTCCTACCTCTTTGACCATCGGTAGCAGGCTCGTCCCTGGCCACAGCAATTCAAACCTGGTATCCTGTGTCCTCCAGATCGTTTCATAATCATTCCTTCCCTGAAAGAGATATCAAATTAACCCATCATGGTCAAATTTACAATTCACAACTGGCTTGCTCAGCAGCAAAGCCTGGGACTAAATAAACTACACCACTCTGACATAACTTCCTCCTCATCCTCCTTCCTTCGTCTTCTACTGGCTTACTGCCCTTCCAGCAGGCTGGGTACCCCAGCAATGACTCTTAAAGGCGCCTTGGCCATATGTAGGCCTTTTGGCATATTCTGGTGGACACAATGCAGGGATTTTGCATCCCGGCTCATGGATCTAAATACTAAACCTTTCCTGCAGCCACTGTGACCACAGAGATGGACTGCAGCTGAGATAGGGGATGGGACTCCCCACACTTCCAGGTGGCTTCACTCAAGGCTCTGTTGACAGAGCTGTAACAAAGGAAGGAGACCAAAGACACTGGCTATACAAGTGTTAATATCTTAGCTGGGCCTGGTGGCAATCGAGAGATGGAGACAGGAAAATTGGTAGTTCAAGGTCATCCTCACCAACATAAAAGAGTTCCAGGCAAGTCTGAGCTACATGAGACCCTGCCTGAAAAAGAAAAAGTACTAATATCTCAATTTTGAAAGATGTGCAACAAGAGCTAAACAAAAGAAAACCATGTTTTAAGAGATTTCTTCATTTTTATTTTATATGTATGAGTGTTTTGCCTACACATATGTATAGATACCACATGCATGCAATGCCTGTGGAGCCAGAAGACGGTGCTGAATCCCTGAAGACTGGAGTTACAAGTGGTTGTTTGTTAGCTGCCATGTGGGTGCTGGGAACCAAACGCAGACATTTGCAGGAGCAGTAAGTGCTCTTAACCCCTGACCCATCTCTCTAGCCCCAAAGGAAAAGTATTTTGAAACAACTACTAACAATGCTCTTAAAGAACTAAAATTAAAAATACATGCTCTTTATATATCAAGCCCTAATATTTCAAGGAAAAATAACCATTGAGTAAATCTCCATTTATTTATACAACATATATATTACAAGGTGTTATTTTTAAATAGCTATCAAAATGTGTGAGACATCATTAGCTTGCATAAGTGACTGAGAGAAAGAATCATGTGTAGTGGGTTTCTAGTTCATTCTCTCACACATGTGAGACTGCCTGCTGTGTATACTGAACTTTCCCACTGGTGGGTTGGAAAGAATGAGTGCTGTCAGCACACAAGAAAGATGGAGGGCAGCTGCCATTGTTTACTGCTGGAGACTATGTGTCCCATGAATGGATTGGCTTGCTCTAAGTCTACTGAGAGAAAGCCAGCAGAACTGCCTGGCCTCCCTAACACTGATCAGCTGCTGCATCAGGCATTCATACCCACCAGTTTCTCACTCTCTGTAAAGACCCAACCCTGGAACTTACAGGCCCTTTGGTCCCAAATCACGAATGAAAGACAGCTGGCTTATATCAAGGAATTCTGTCTGAAAAGAAAAAAAAAGGTTTTTTTTAGGAAACTAAATCAAAAAGGAAAAAGGAAAAAAGTAGGGAGAGAGGGGGAAAGAAAGAAGAAAAAGACATCTATGCTTTACAAAAACCATGTATTAGGAGTACCCGCTGTAAACACACTGATTCAGTCTGCAGACTGGACAGGTCATTAACAACAGCATTGCAAGTGCTAACTAGAAGCCCATGGGCAGGGCATGGTGGGAAACACCGTCATCCCGCATTTGGAGATGGAAACGAGATGATCAGGAGCTCAGGCTAAATAATGAACTCAAGGTCAACCTGGGTTACATGACACGCTGGCTCAAAACAAGAAATGAAGTACATAATTAAAACTCTACCAAGAAATGTTGTGTACTCCAGGATGTAGAGACAAAATCGAAAACTGTAGAGGGAGAGTTTATTGCTGGTGTTTTCTTTTTCTTTTTGTTGTTGTTGGCAGAGTTATTGGGCACAGTGTATACAAAATAATAGAACATGCATGAAGGACATGATGGTAAAGATTCTAGAAGATGGAACATCTGGAAATGAGGGATGAGGGAGGGTAGACACAGAAAGCATCTAGTTAATGTATTGTGGACATGACAGGAAGCTGCACCAATGAGATCTCCACAGTATGATAGTCTAATGAGAGCTACATAATGACAAAACCAGTGGACATGCCAACGTGGATGAGGAAAATATGGGGCCCCACCTCAAGATGAAGAGTTACAATCAATGGACGCTGAGGGAGAATCAGTTTTCTCCATTGATTAGCTCTCTGAGAGGTTATCTAATTTTTTTTGCTTTATTTTTATTTTGTGTGTATGTCTGTATTTCGTGCATGTATGCAAGTGCATCCATGTCATACAATGCCTACGGAGGACAGAAGAGGGTGTTAGATCCCCTGGAACTGATGTTATAGACAGTTGTTAGCTGCCATGTGGGTGCTGGGATTCAAACCCTGGGTCTTCTGCAGGAATAGCCAGTGCTCTTAACTGCTGAGCCATCTCTCCAGTCCAAGGTTACCCAATCTTAAGAGGTCAGCCTAAACACAGGTACACACGAGTACCACTAAATAGACTCAGTGTATTATACACACACACACAGACATATATATATAAAATGTATGTATGTATGTATGTATGTATGTATGTATGTATATGTAACAATAATAATCCCAGAAGAAGACAAAAATTGAGAGGGAGTTGGGGGACATGGGAGGCATTGGAGAGATGGAAAAAAATGCAAAGAAAATACTCATGTCTGAAATTCCCCAAAATAAAAAAATTTAAAAGACCTGAAGGTCTAAGGAGAAGACAGAACGAACAGTCAAGCTGCAGGGAAAGGATCAGAGTTGGATGGAAAATTACTGGGCATGAGGGGCTGCAGGGAGACTGGGGAGCATCACCTGCAGCAAGAATTTGTTTCCCTGTAGGGGGGCTTAACCTAGGTGCTCACAGGTGCCAGGCAGATACGCTGTACCACGGAGCCTCATTCCCAGCCCTCATCCTACTTTGAGGCAGGGTTTCACCAAGTTGCCCAGGTTAGCCCTGTACTACTTACTCTGTCACCCAGGCTGCCTCAGCCTCTATAGACAGTGGCTGGGATCACGGGCCTGGCTGGTAAAATTACTTCCAATGAGTTGAGAAGGAAGAGAATTTTGGGCTCCACCTTCACTGTGGAAATTACACGAAGATTAAAAATTATAAATGGTGGCACACGCCTTTAATCCCAGCACTCGGGAGGCAGAGGCAGGCAGATATCTGTGAGTTCAAGGTAAGCCTGGTCTACATAGTGAGTTCCAGGCCAGCTTGGCCTACAGGGAGACCCTGTCTCAAAAAGACCAAAAAAAAAAAAAAAACTATAAATATTCAAAAAATAATGACAGTTGGGCTAGAGAGATGGCTCAGTGGTTAAGAGCACTTATTGCTCTTCCAGATGACCTGGATTTGGTTGTCAGCAGCCACGTGGTGGCTAACACCTGTCCTTAACTCCAGTTCCAGGAAATCCAAATCCAACATCCTTTGACCTCCAAGGGTACCTGGCATATACACTGTGGTGCTCTTATATACATGAGGGTAAAACACTCATACAAATAAAATAAAAATAATTTTTAAAAAAAGAAACAAGCTGGGTGTGGTGGTGCACACCCTTAATCCCAACATCTGGGAGGCAGGTGGATGTCTGTGAGGTAGATGGAGACCAGCCTGGTCTACATAGTCAGCTGTTAAAAAAAAAAAGGAAACAGTAAAAAAAAATTTTTTTAATGACAGGGCTTTAAGGGTTTATTACATGCCCACAAGTTAAGCAATTTTTCATGCATTGTCTTAAAATTTCTTTATTTCTTTTTATGTGTATGAGTGCTTTACCTGCATATATGTAAATGTACCACTTGTATGTAACGCCCACAGAAGCCAGAAGAAAGTGTTGGATCCCTGAAACTGGAGTTCTAAATAGTTGTTAGCTGCCATGTGGGTGCTGGGAACTGAACCTGCTCTACAAGAGCAGCCAGTGCTCTTAACTGCCGAGCCATGTCTCCAGCCCCTCCGGTATTACTTTAAACATGCTTTGAAGCAGTTACATTTTCCCAAGGTACACAAAAGGAGACTGAGCTTTAGAGTACGGCATGGAAAGCTTTTTTGCAACAAAACAAAAACAGAAAACAGACAAAATATTTTGTGCTCTGTGGGCCAGAGAATCTTTGTTGCAAGTGCCCAAATCTCATACAGCAATGTGAGCACAGACACCTAAGTGGATGTGGCCATTCAAATAAAACTTTATGAATACAAGACACAAATATGAAGCCAGATGTGGACAACAGAGTAAACTCTAGGCCACTGTGGACACTTGAGCCCTTGTCTCAAGCTGAGCCGCAAAAGCAAAAAGTCACTTAATGTTCACTGTGGTTTTCATCATGTGTGTATGTGTGTTTCATTGTCCTTTTGGTTTGGTTCTGAGACAGGTCTTACTAGGTAGCCTGGGTTAACCTTGAACCCCTAGTCCTACCTCAACTACTGGAGGGCTGGAATTTCATGTGTGCACCACCATACTCAGCTCAACACTTATCTTACTCAGATGAGTTCCTGCATATTCTAGCTAGGTAAGGGCAAGCTGCAAATGTAGATGGAGAGGATGAGAAACAAATGCACAGAACGCAGTGCTTAACATAGGCTGGGGCTTGCAACAGCTGGATTTAGACATGGAATGCTCCCAATTTACAGGTTTCTTTTTAAAGCAGGCAGCAGTAAGTCCAGGTCTACCCATGATTCTTGGACCAAATTGTTAATGGCCAGATAAAAAGAACAAAACAAAAAGCCGGGCATGGTGGAGCACACCTTTAATCCCAGCACTCAGGAGGCAGAGGCAGGTGGATCGTTGTGAGTTCAAGGCCAGCCTGGTCTACATAGTGAGTTCAGGTCAGCTGGGACTACAGGGAGACAGTGTCTCAAAAAAGAACAAAACAAAACAAATAAAAAAAACAAAGGATAAGCTGGGAATGTCACTCAGTTGATAGAGTGCTTGCTTAGTCCTGGCTTCTATCCCAGCACTGGGGAGGTGAAGGCAGGGAATCAGAAGTTCAAGATCATCCTTTGCTACATAGTGAGTTAGCAGACAGCCTGGGCTATATTAGACTGTCAGAGAAAAAAAAAAAAAAGAAAGAAAGAAAAGAAAAACACAGAAAGAAAAAGATGTTCACCCAGGATGAGGAAGTGGATGGAAGGTTAGGTAAGAACAGTCTTATGGAGAAAATTACCTGGGCATATGATAGCCATAAGCCTTCGGAGCAGGGTGGGGGTGAACCCCTCCTGGATGATGGAATATCACAGGGTGTGGGCTTAGAACTGGGACTAACAAAAGGAAACAATTTTCCTTGACACTTTAAAAAATGTGTATGAGTGTATTTGCCTGCATGTATGTAAGTGCACCTGTGTCATGCAATGCCCACGGAGGTCAGAAGAGGGCGTCAGATCTTCTGGAACTGGAGTTATAGACAGTTGTTAACCACCACGTGGGTGCTGGGAATCAAACCTGGGTCCTCTGTAAGAGCAGTCAGTGCTCTTAACCACTGAGCCATCTCTCCAGCCCCTCCTTGAAACAACTTTTATATGTGACTAGAAATATCTAATATTAACCTTGAAAGAAAAAAACAGAAATATCTCAGATCTGCCAAGTCTTTCAATGCTCAGTTAAATCCTTACAATTCTTTTTCTTGAAGAAAGATTTTTCAAATTTAAGAGGACTTAATAACATTTTTAAATCCCCAATTAACTAGATCCTCACACAGCACTTTTTAGAATAAGGATTCTAAAAGCCAAGGTCTTTGTTTTGCATTTCTTTTATAAAACATGGTGACTCAGCTCCATGCATTTCTTATCTGATTCGTGAAAATATTTTCTAATTGGAAGATGTAGTAACCCATGGGTTATTAGAAATGACATTCAGATTGTCAACATGAAATCCAAAATGTTTTAAAACCCTAAGAATCACTTCTCCCTTTTTCTCTAGGGAGTAGACAGACATGATTAATCCAGGTCTGCACCTGAACAAACTACTACAGGGGTGTATTCAGTTTACGTTTCAGAGCGAGTCATGGGAAGATAGGAAGTGAAAGCTAAACCCACGGAAGCCAAGGCCAGTGTGTGGGCAAACAACTATAATCCTTGGCTGAAGCAAGAAGATCCCTTAAACTAGAGGCTAGCCTGGGCTACATCATGAGCGGCAAGTCAGCCTGGGCTTCATAGCAAGACCTTGTCTCAAAATTAAACAAACAACAACTAAACAGGTGCCATGCTGAATGCCTACAGTTATAGTCCTCAGTCCCAGCTGAGATCATCCTTGGTTACTTAGCAAGCTCAAGTCCAACCAGGGCTAAGAGAGACACTGTCTCAAACAAACAAAAGATCTAGGGAAACAGTGGTCCACTAATACATAGATAATTTCTCTTTTAAAAAATTACATTAGCTGGGTGTGGTGGTGTATGCTTTAATCCCAGCAC